GGAGCGCCAGGGCCATGCGGGCCACCTCCCGGGCGTGCAGCTTCCCATTGCGCACCGGCAGCCCCGACACCACCATGTAGGCGTCCCCGATTGTCTCCACCTGGATTAGGAGGGGGGGACACACACCGCTGGGGACACGCTGTGGGTGCACCACCAACTTTGGGGTGTCCAGCGTGACCCATGGTGCATGGGTGTTCGTGCACGTCCATGCATGTGCATCCGTGTCCTCACTTTGTAGACGTCGAAGTTGTCGATGATGGCGTCGAAGCAGGTGTAGAGGTCGTTGAGGAGGTCGACCACCTCGATGGGCTCGCTCATGGCCGAGATGGTGGTGAAGCCCACGATGTCGCTGAAGTAGAGCGTCACCTCCTCGAAGTACTCGGGCTCCACCGGCGTCCCCATCTTCAGGGCCTGTCCAGCCATGGCAGAGGGGTCCTGGGGGTCTCCAGCCTCTCAGGACTCCCAGCCCGAAGCCATGATGGGGGGCCAAGGTTGCCCCCGGTCCCTCTGAGGATGCCCACCCCCAAGCCATGCTGGGGGTGCGGGGTCATCCCTGGCCCCTTTAGGTACCCCAAGCCCCAAAGAGCCATGGCAGGGGATCCTTGGGGTCTCCAGCCCTCCAAGCAGCCCCAGCCCTGAACACGTCCTTGGGGTCCCCGGCCCCTTCAGGCACCCTGCGCCATGCAGCAGTCTGGGGGGGGTCCCCAGTTCCTCCAAACACCCCCGGCCCTAAGCCATCTGGGGGTCTTTGGGGTCCCCAGCCCCTCCAAGCACCCCCAGCCATGCAAAGCATCCATGGGGGACCCCAGCCCAGGGTGGGCAGGGGATGCTGGTGTGGAGCCCCGAGGTGCCCAGCAGTGGGGGGGGCACAGAGGGCTGCCCCCCACCCCCGGTGCTCACTGGGGCAGGATCTGGTAGAGGAGAGCCTCAGCCTTGCGCTTCTCCTCCAGGTAGGCTTGGGTTCGCTCTTCCACCAGCTCCTCCAGGTTGTTGGCGTACTGCTCCATGCGTGACAGCAGGTTGTCCAGGATGTTGCTGCTGCTCTCCCTGCGGGCAGGGGGTGAGCACCCACCCAGGGACCCTTTTCAGGGTCACCCATCACCCATGGGGCTGGGGGAGGCGGAGGTACCTGTTGAACTTGCGGAGCTGGACCTTGATCTGGTTGAAGTCGGGGCGCTCCAGGACGTCCTCGGCCCAGCAGTGCTGCATCAGCTGGCCCAGCTCCTCCATGTGGCACCCCACGTTGGCCGAGGGGCGGAAGCTGGGGCGCTCCCCACTCTTCACCCGCTCAATGATCTCTGTGGGGCCAAGCACCCATCAGCAGGTCCAAGCACTCATCAGCGGGTCCAAGCACCCATCACAGCATGGCCAAGCACCCATCAAGTAAGGCCAACCACCCATCAGGTGGTCCAGTCACCATCAGCTGGTTCAAGCACGGACCAGCAGGTCCAGTAACCCACTGGCAGGGGCAGCCACCCACCAGTGGGTCCAACCACCCATCAGCAAGGCCAGTGACCTCTCAGCTGGTCCAAGAACCCACCAGCAGGTCCAATAACACATCAGCAGGACCAATAACCCATCAGTGGGGCCAAGCACCCATCAGCTGGTCCAATAACCCATCATCAGGGTCAAGAACCCATCACAGAAGGTCCAACAACCCATCAGCAGGGCCAAGAACCCATCACAGAAGGTCCAACAACCTATCAGCAGGGCCAAGAACCCATCACAGAAGGTCCAACAACCCATCAGCAGGGCCAAGAACCCATCACAGAAGGTCCAACAACCTATCAGCAGGGCCAAGAACCCATCACAGAAGGTCCAACAACCCATCAGCAGGGCCAAGAACCCATCACAGAAGGTCCAACAACCTATCAGCAGGGCCAAGAACCCATCACAGAAGGTCCAACAACCCATCAGCAGGGCCAAGAACCCATCACAGAAGGTCCAACAACCTATCAGCAGGGCCAAGAACCCATCACAGAAGGTCCAACAACCCATCAGCAGGGCCAAGAACCCATCACAGAAGGTCCAACAACCTATCAGCAGGGCCAAGAACCCATCACAGAAGGTCCAACAACCCATCAGCAGGGCCAAGAACCCATCACAGAAGGTCCAACAACCTATCAGCAGGGCCAAGAACCCATCACAGAAGGTCCAACAACCCATCAGCAGGGCCAAGAACCCATCACAGAAGGTCCAACAACCTATCAGCAGGGCCAAGAACCCATCACAGAAGGTCCAACAACCCATCAGCAGGGCCAAGAACCCATCACAGAAGGTCCAACAACCTATCAGCAGGGCCAAGAACCCATCACAGAAGGTCCAACAACCCATCAGCAGGGCCAAGAACCCATCACAGAAGGTCCAACAACCTATCAGCAGGGCCAAGAACCCATCACAGAAGGTCCAACAACCCATCAGCAGGGCCAAGAACCCATCACAGAAGGTCCAACAACCTATCAGCAGGGCCAAGAACCCATCACAGAAGGTCCAACAACCCATCAGCAGGGCCAAGAACCCATCACAGAAGGTCCAACAACCTATCAGCAGGGCCAAGAACCCATCACAGAAGGTCCAACAACCCATCAGCAGGGCCAAGAACCCATCACAGAAGGTCCAACAACCTATCAGCAGGGCCAAGAACCCATCACAGAAGGTCCAACAACCCATCAGCAGGGCCAAGAACCCATCACAGAAGGTCCAACAACCTATCAGCAGGGCCAAGAACCCATCACAGAAGGTCCAACAACCCATCAGCAGGGCCAAGAACCCATCACAGAAGGTCCAACAACCTATCAGCAGGGCCAAGAACCCATCACAGAAGGTCCAAATCAGCAGGGCCAAGAACCCATCACAGAAGGTCCAACAACCCATCAGCAGGGCCAAGAACCCATCCCAGCGGGTCTAAGCACCCACCAGTGGATCCAACCACCCATCAGCGCAGTCAAGCACCCATCAACAGGTCCCTGGCGCCATCACCCCAGCCCTTTTGCTCGCCTTTGGGGCTCAGGTCCAGCCCCTCCACGTAGAAGACACCGTTGCGCAGGGCGATCTCTTGCAGGATGATGCCAAAGCTGTAAACGTCGCCCTTCTGCGTGCCGCGGGCTGGCGGCAACTCCATCCGCAGCAGCTCGGGTGCCGTCCACAGCTTCTCTGTGGCACCAGGGAAGGGGGCTCAGGCTGGGCAGGGACCCAAGGCAGGGGCTGCTCCTGGGGCGGGGAGGGTTGTGGGTGGGCAGGGTGCTCACTGGCGAAGAGCGCGTGGGAGTCCTCGCCGTCGGGGACCACGCGGAAGCTCTCCAGGCCGTAGTCTGTGATCTTCAGCACGAAGCGGCTGTCCACCACGCAGTTGGAGGACTTGAGGTTCCCATGGGAGACGATCACCCCGTTGTGCAGGAACTGCATCCCCTGGCAGGGCGGAGAGCGGTTGGACCTGGTTGTGTCTCCCCTCCATGGCAACGGGGGGGACCCCCCCGTGGGAACTGGGTGCCTGGTGGTAACCGACTCATTACCTTGACAATGTCATGGGTGAGGGAATAGCGGAACATCCAGTCCAGCGTGATGCTCTCGTTCTCCAAGATGTCCTGGGGACACGAGGGTCACATTGCTGTCCCACCACCATGGACGGTCCCGGGATGGGGGACAGCATCCGTCCTGGGGAGCCGGGACCCTGCCGGTACCTGGAGGCTCCCGCGCGGGCAGTACTCGGTCAGGATGCAGATGTTCGGGGGGTCGGTGCAGGCGCCGATGAAGCGGGTCAGATGCTCATTTTGGATATCCCGCATCTGAGGTGGAGCAGGGTGTGGGACCAGGCTCACGCCAGGCTGGGCACCCCGACCCCACCACCCAGCACCGAGCCGGGGGCCACCTACGTGCTTCAGCTCGAACAAGACCTTGCGCGTCAGCTCGATGCGCTTGCGGTTGAGGTGCTTCCCAGCCACGAGGTTGCCCTGGGGAGAGATGCAGCGTGATGGGTGCCCGGCAGGGTGGTGGGTGCCCATCCCTGCTCCTGTGCCCCCGTACCTTGTAATACGCTGTCTTGGCGTAGACCTGGAACTGCCCCTCCGCCGTCATCAGCGAGCCGTAGTTGGAGCCCCTCTGCGGGAAGGGATGTGGGATGAGCCCGGTCCCCGGTCCCCATCCCCACGGCGGGGCTGGGGAGGGGACGGGTGCTCACCAAGGAGAGGGTGAGCTTGCTGCCGGCGTTCCGGAGGTGTTTCTCCAGGCTGCTCATCTGCACGTCCTCCCAGCGGATACGCCACAGCTCGGCTGGCACCTCCTTCTCCCGCGTGTGCCTCAC